AATGGGGCTTCCCTTGATGACACCAATCCCCACTGTGCTATTTTTCTCCATAACTCTTCATCTTCTCGCATATTAAATAATTTATTATGTTTATCATCTACTTACTCCTTTCCTCTAATAAAATGTAGTTCCATAAGAGGCAGATTTTTTTTTTGTTTCGTTTCCAGTTCCTAGAATAATGCCTGACACATAAAGGTAAGTATTAGTTAAACGAATGATTGAGTGAATAAACCACACCCAAGTTCCTTGGGTGAAAATAAAGTAAATCTTCTGTTGCTTTAGAAGATTATATCTACTACTAAATTTCATTTTTCTTAGGTATTATTTGGCCAGGTTAATAATCTATAATAACTGGATAGAAAGTTGTGAAAAGAAGTTAGGAAAGGGCTAATAAGCTCATTCATCAAAAGAAAAAAACGTTTTTGGTATATAGGACAAAAAATTCACATTAAAAACCAAGCAATATTTATATATATTAAATGTCTTTCAGAGGCTGATGTGTAAAACCACTAGTCATCAAAATCTGATACATACTATCCTAAGTTCTTATAAGAGCCAAAGGTAACCATTTTGTTCACGAAAGCTAAATGCTGGAAATTCTAAAAGAAAAATATTGCCTACTGATCTAATACTACCAGTATGGCCACCAGATTTTCTGTGTAAAATTTAAGGCTACGTGGCAATTTAATGATGAAAGACTCAGAAAAGATCAAGGAGACATGTTAAACTGAAGAGACCATTTTAGGTGTGTTCTTAGGGTTCATTATGGCTGCCCCCCATAATCTAGTTTAGATTCACATTTTATGTAGGGATGACATATGAGGGATGACATAAAAATGCTGATTATATACAAATTCCATAAAATGTCCCAAGAGTCTACAAACATGAATTCTTTCAGCCATGGCAGTGGGACAGTTTATGACCTGAATTAACAGAATTATCCATGGGAACACACTGCCCTGGAAGGCAGAGGACTCAGACTCAAGTTTTGGCCCTACCAGTGAATGACTCTGTGACTTGAATAAATCATAACCTTTGCTTCTAGATTCATAAATTCATAAAATATTTTCCTATTCTCTTCTCTATCACATAGATGTATGCCGAGGAATTATTTGTTAACCAAATAATGACAGCCCTTTTAAGTAAAGAATATAAAAATCTAGGCCGGTGCGGCGACTTAGGCCTGTAATTCCAACACTTTGGGAGGCTGAGGCAGGAGGATCACTCAAGGTCAGAAATTTGAGACCAGCCTGGGTAACATAGTGAGACTCCATCTCTACAAAAGAATAATTAATTAAAAATGTAAAAAATAAAAAAAAAATCCCCTCTGCTGGGGTGGGGAACCTGCTGCCCTAAGGCCACCTGTGGTCTTCTAGGTCCTTAGTGCAGCCTCTTGACTGAATTCAAATTTTACAGAACAAATCCTTTTATTGAAAGGGGCGCAGCAGAGAAAGATGAAGGTTTTCTTGCCTCCTTTGGTACTTAAAAAAGAACAATCTTGAAATCAGAAGGCCACAGGTTCCCTACCCCTAAAAGTTTTACTTCTTTTTACAAAAATAAATGGAGATGACCTAACAGCATATTAACAACACTGTAAGGGCCAGGCCCAGTGGTGCGTACTTTCAGTCTCATCTACTTGGGAGGCTGAGGCCTTTTAGCCCAGGAGTTGGAGGCTGTAGTGCACTAGGAATAGCAACTGCACTCTTGCAACATAGACTTCGTCACTTAGAAACAGTGCTATAAAAACTGAGTCTATAAGAATATCTTTAAGAAAAAAAAAAAAAGGAAGCAGGCATCTTCACTAATTCTTATAAAGAATGTGATAATGCAAAGGTCCTTAATTGCAGGTAGCATATGCTGGATAGTCCACCAGAAGGCAGCAACATGCAGGCTTTCTTTTTCTTCAAAATCTGAACTCTGTAAAATTGCTTTAAGTTGTAAATTATAAATCTACAGAAATTTAGGTTGAAGGATGCAGACTAAAATCACAGGCAATGAAATAAGGTATAAAAGGAGATATACGTAAATTGATGCTATAAATACAGAGACATTGTGATGAGAATACAAGATAATCCAGCTGCACATTGGAACAGATATTAAAGCTCATATACTTAATTTGAAAATTCTTCTGTTTTTTTCCCTAGAGGAAGAAGCTATGAAATACATATTATAGAGAAACTTGTATAATATTCCAAAAATGCCTGGACATTAAACTCTGAGTTCAGGATCTGGGACAATATTTTTAAGTGGGCATGTATCTTAGTGAATTAAGAAAACACCACAGCTCAGAAATCCTGGGTTTAATGCTTAAGTATATTTGGTAAACACAATGCTGTCGTTTGTGGCAAACTTGTAAGCATTTCATGTATATGAAATCTAATAAATACAACCTACCATTGGTCTTATGTTTACTAATATAAGAAAAATAATACTGCATGAAGACTATTAAAAATAAAGTGAAATCATACATATCAGAGACACAATAATGGGACAGTCTAGATTACTTCAGTAGTAGAAAATATATTTGCTAGATGTAACTTTTTTATTTGCAAAGTAAAGTGCAAGGATCAAAATATTTAAAAAATATTTTGGAGTAATAATTGCTTGGAAAACCCATTAGTAAAAACTTCTAGTGACCTTATCAAGTTTGAGCAAAGACCTGCTAATTTAATTAGTAAACTAGCTAATTACAATGTAAAAGGGATTAAATGTTGTTTACTTATTTATTTGTTTCAGAGACGGAGTACTGGGCTGTGCTCCAGGGTGGAGTACAAACAGTGTGATCATAGCTCACTGAAACCTCAAATGCCTGGGCTCAAGTGATCCTACCATCTAAGCCTCCCAAGTAGCTGGGACTTCAGGCACCTGCCACCATACCCACCTGAAAAAAATTTTAAAAATTTTTTGTTGAGATGAAGTTACCTAGGGGTAACTATGTTACCCAGGCTGGTCTCAAACTCCTGGTCTCTAATGATCCTCCCACCTTGGCCTCCCAAAGTGCTGGGATTACAGGCATAAACCACCATTCCCAGCCTATTTTTTTTATTGATGAGCTCTTTTGGAAAGAATTTAAATATTCTCTCTTTCTAAGTCAAATTATTTTCTTTTATTGTTATTATATTGGATCCAGTAATATTCTCGGGATAATCTGGACTATCAGATACTACAACTCTGAGCAAGATTTGTTCTAGGTTATTAGTTTCCTGGACTATTTGAAGTTATGCTCTGGGGGAAAAGTTCAAGACAACTGAATTCCCTGTCTTAACATGAATCACATAAACTAAGAATAAATTTCAAGAAACTAAAATATTAAACAAAAACATGTGAAACTAATGCTAAGGAAAAGACTTTTTAGAAAAGAGTTACTTTAGAAAAGGGTTTTTACACACACACACACACACACACACACACACACACACACACACACACACCCTCTTCTTACCAATAATATGAAATTCTGAGACAGGTGGGGGAGATGATGGTAAGTAAAGAAAATAAGAGAGTCTATTAATATAAAAAGCTCATTGAGAAAGTGAAATCTTGTTTATAAGGCCATTCTTACTTAATCTACAACATTTAAAAGACCACAGCATATTTTCTAGGATTAAGTACGAACATAAAGATCTGTAATTTGCACCTTTGAAGTTCTGAGTTCTTTGCAGTCACGGTATTCATTATGAATTTCTAATGGCTTACTTTAACCCAACATCTACTACATGATAAGGCTCTCCAATCCTCCCAACAAGCGTATGATATAGGTTTTATTGTCTTTCATTGTATAGATGAGGACACAAATTACTTTACTGGGATCAGCAAGTTACGGCTGAACTGGAGCTCAAACATGAATCTATATGATCCTAGAGCTAGTCACTCCACTCTACTGCCTTGCTAAAATACTGTCTTAGGCCTTCAACATTCATATAAGAACTCTTATCAGATTATGTTCAACACTGATCCACAACTGAGATAATGCTGAGAGATTCTTTGTTTCTTCAGTAAATAATTGGGCTCTGATATTTAAAGATGCAAGCACTACTTAACTGTCTGTCATTCTATTACAATCCTAAGGTAGTTTGGTATAGTGAATCAGGAAAACAAGTTTCTGGTCCCAAATCCACTAGTAATTATTAATGTCTTTTAGACAAGTCACATAAATAAGTGCATGTCAGATATTTATTGTTTTTATTATCTAAAGTACAGGAGCTGGACTGATAGCCCTCTGCTTAAATATTACAATCTACTTTGAATATTAAGAAAGCATACACTGTGTGCTCTACAATGGCTAGGTACTACTAAGAATCCACACATTATATCAACTGCACCTATCATAATTCAAGGCAGGGGGTTCAGCTCATGATTTTCTTTTCTTATAGTGAAGGTTAAATAAGTAAATAGCCAAATATCATGGGATTCATGGAAAGAATTCTAACTGATGAATTTGCAGGAGTTTTAGATAGTGGCTTACTCAGGTGAATACGCTTTACGCATATGCACATGCACATGCACCCATGGCTGTGTGGAAGAGTGGAAGAAGGGAAAGAGATACCACTTAATGTCAGATGACAATTTTAAATGCAATAAAGGTCTGACTCACTGTACTTTAGTGACTGAGTATGTAGAACTGCTTCAACTCTCATTACACCCTCTGACTTCACAGACAGGAAAAAAATATCCTTTGCCATGAATATTCGTCATTATAAAATGCCAGAGATTTTGGGAGGAAGAAAAAAAATCTCACATCCTACCAATCCCAGTTGAATATACTACATATTAATATTTTAATCAGCCTTTCTTAACCATGGTTCTGGGAAAGAATTAGCCCTTAATATTCTAAGGCATCTGTAAGAAGATGGAATGAATTAACTTCTTTCCTATATATCTGGAATTACACTATCTAAAATCCTCGGGTAAAATTAAGAAAATCATTTTCTGTGTTCTGTTGATCAGAACAGGAACTCTGGCTGAGCTCATTATTTTGCCAGCATTTAACAGTTGCTTACCACTGCAAACGGAAGAGGTGATGTTGTACAGAAAAGGATAAAACTGCATACAGCGGATTAACTTCAGGCTGTTTTCACACTCTGGGCATTTGGTAGTTAATTTCAAAGCCTGTCTAAAGGCTTCAAGTGCCCCACTGATATTCTTCAGAGCAAGGTAAGCATTTCCAAGGCTCAAAAAGGTCAGAGGCTGAAAAGAAAAAAAAAATCAGCAAAATGTTAATGAATTAATATTTTCTGATAGTTACAAAACCTTTACAGCAGAGGTCTCCAACCACTTTGACACCAGGGACCGGTTTCGTGGAAGACAGTCTTTGCATAGGCGGGGGAGGGTCGCCGCCTTGGCTTCAGATCATCAAAAGGCGTTGGATTCCCATGGGGAGCGCGCAACCTGGATCCCACACATGTGCAGTTTGCAGTGGGGTTCTCACTCCTGTGAGGGTCTGATGTCACTGCTAATCTCATGGAGGGCGGGGCTTGGGTGGTGATGCCAGCGATGGGGAGCGGCTGTGGGTACAGGTGGGGCTTCCCTTGTTCGCTTGCGGCTCTGCGGCGTTTCCTGGCGGGAGGTGGGTCCCCAGTCGGGGGGGTGGGGTTTACAGTATGTAAAACCACAGCTTTACAGTATGTCTTTTGGCTTTTCTTAGGTAACCTCACAAAGGTTATTAGTTACTGTCCATTTCATTCACACCAGCCATTTCTAAATTGTATAACATATGTAAATGTTTTACCTTTTTACTAAGATAAATATATAAAGTGTATAATGTACATTAGTCTTAAGTGTACAGCTCAGTGAATTTTTATATATGTATATATCCCTGTAACTACCACTCAGCTCAAGATATTAAACATTTAGAACGTTTCCAGTACAGGAGGAGGTTCCTTGGGCAATCCAACCCCAACTCCAGAAGTAACCACTGTTATGATACTGTGACTTCTATTACCATAAATTAGCTTTGCCTATTCTTGAACTTCATATAAATGGAATCAAACAGCATGTTCTCTTACATGTACATATAATATGTATCCTTCTGTAGCTTCTTTCATTCAATCTAATATTTGCCCATGTTTTTGTGTATATAAGGTCATTTTTTTTAATTGATGTGCAATATTGTATCATATGAATATACCAGAACTTGTTCATGCATTCTCCTACTGATTGGTATTTGGGCTGTTTCCACTTTCTGGCTACTATGAATAAAGCTATCATGAATACTCCTATAAACATCTTTTGATAGACATATTGCACTCATTTTACTTGGGTATATACTTAGTAGTGGGTTGTAAGGTAGACACGTAGTTTTAGTAGCTATAACCAAATAGTTTTCCAAAAGGAATGCATAAATTTACACTCTTACCAGCAAGTATGAGAATTCACTGACTTTGTGTTGTCAGTCTTTTAAATTTTAGCTATTTTAGTGGGTTGAGTGGCATTTCACTGTGGTTTTAATTTGCATTTCCCTGGTGGGTAATAACGTTGAGTATTTTTGTGTGTGCCTATTGGCCATTTGAATATCCTCATTTCTGAAGTACCTGTTCTTTTTCTCCATTAAAAGAAATTAGGATATCTTTCTTATTGATTTGAAGGAGTTCTCTCTATATAGTTCTTTGTTGCAAATGTTTATTAAAAAATCTTCTTCCAGTCTGTGGTTTGCCTTTTTACTCTCTTAGTGGTGTCTTTTGACAAACAGAAATTCTGAATTTTAATGAAGTTCAGTTTATCATTTTTTCTTTTATAGTTAGTACTTTTTGAAATCTTTGTCTACTGCAAGGTCATGAAGACTTTCTCTTATGCTTTCATCAAGAAGCTTTATTATTTTATCTCTCACATTTTGGTAAATGATCCACTTCAAATTAATGCTGTGTACAGCATGAGGCAGGAATCAAAGTTCTTATCTTTTCTCATGGGATATCCAATTACTCCAGCACTACTTATTGAAAAACCAAAAAGTTCCCCCATTGAACTACAGGTACATCTGTCATAAATCAGTGACCATATATGTGATGGTCTATTTCTAAAGTCTCTACTGTGTTCCACTGATATGGTTGAGTATCTTTCTACCAATACCATAATGAATTAATTATGGTGAGTCTTGAAATCTAGTAATATAAGCTTCGCAACTCTCGTCCTCCCCCCAACCCCACCAAATTTGGCTATTCTAGGTCCAATTCCTATGCAGATTTTTAGAACCAACTTATCAGTAAAAACACATATATACCTAATTGCTAGGTGTCTGATTGGGATTGAATTGGATGTATAAATCAATTTGCAGAGAATTTACACATTGACAGTATTGGATCTCTTAATTTGTGAACATGATATATATCTTAATTTCAGGTTAAGAATTCCTTATCTGAAATGCTTGGGACCAGAAATGTTTTGAATTTCAATTTCTTTTTTTGATTTTGCAATATGTGCATTATATACTAACTGGCTGAACATCCCAAATCCGAAATCCAAAATCTGAAGTGCCCCAATACTCATTTTCTTTGAGCATCATGTTGGTGCTCAGAAATTTTGAGATTTTGGAGCATTCTGAATTTCAAATTTGGGATGCTTAATCTGTATTTATGTCTTCTTTGTCTTAACAATGTTTTGTCATCATTGTGAGATTGCTACCTCTTAGCAATCTTACACTGCTTATATAACTTCCTTTAGATGTATTCCTAGACATTTGATGTCTCCTTGATGCTACTGTAAATAGTAGATTTTGTATACTATTTTCCAATTGTATGTTGAAACTGTTTCTATACGCAGCCCAAAGTATTCAGTTTAGGCCATTTTAACTGAAATATACCTATGTTTAATATTTTTTGTATTTGCTTGTGTGCAAACCATTTGTTTTCAACTTATTTTATCATTAAAAAAATACTTTAAAAGATTTAAGAATGTCTTATTCTCAAATTTCACAATATATCCCTATAAAAAGCAACATTTATGAATTATCCAACTACTTGCTTTTGATTCAAGCTGTCAGTTCAGCAGAAATGTCTCACAGTAACCAAGCCATGGAGTACAAAATACTCCACTTTAAGGAGGTCTAATTTAAGCAGCTCTCAGATTACATTTAAAGTGTTATTTTGTGGTTCACATCTAGATACAAAATTAAATTCCATATATAGATTTCAAAAGTGTATTTAAATTTTGCATAAGGAAACAAAGTGTTGCAATTATCCCTATGAACAGAATGATGATTGTACAAATATTTTTCATTGAGACAAACTGGTTAGCATTTTGGAAAAAAAGATGAATTTTAATCAATTCATCCAGAAAATAAGTGCTGAATGTTATGTTCCAGGCACTGTTTTAGACACTGGGAATACAGCAGAAAATAAGAAAGATAATTTCTACCTTCATGAATCTTACAGTCTAGTGTGGGGTGTGAGTAAAATGTAATGCAGAAAAATGTAGAAGGAAGAGATATAAGTAGTACTAGAATGGGGTGTGTGTGTGTGTGTCATTTTAAATAGAGTAGAACAAGAAGGACTTACTGAGAAGTTAGTAATTATGACTTTAAGGAAGTTAAAGAGAAAGCTATGAGGAATCTTGGTGGAGTGAAGTACTCCAGACAGAGAAAACAGAAAGTGCAAAGGCCCTGAGGTGCCTAGCATGTTCAAAAAATTGCAAGGAAGGCCAGGCGTGGTGGCTCATGCCTGTAATCCTAGCACTCTGGGAGGCCAAGGCTGGAGGATCGCTCAAGGTCAGGAGTTTGAGACCAGCCTGAGTAAGAGTGAGATCCCGTCTCTACTAAAAAAAAAAAAAAGAAATTATCTGGACAACTAATATATACAGAAAAACTTAGCCGGACATGGTGGCGCATGCCTGTAGTCCCAGCTACTTGGGAGGCTGAG